ATTTATTTATTTGTTTATTTATTTATTTATTTATTTTTGTTTTTCCGAGGCAGGGCTTCTCTGTGTAGCTTTGGAGCCTATTCTGGCACTTGCTCTGGAGACCAGGCTGGTCTTGAACTCACAGAGATCCACCTGCCTCTACCTCCCGAGTGCTGGGATTAAAGGCATGTGCCACCAATGCCCGGCCTGGTTTTAATTTTTTGGGACTGTCTCACTATGTTGTTCTGTCTATAGACCACACTGGCCTCAGACTCTGTGATCCGCCTGCCTCTGCCTGCTTTTAATAGATTTTTTATCTTTTCCATTCTCTTTTCTTTGCTTATCCAATATTTAAATAAACATAAAAACTATTTCATGATTCCAATAGTTTTATGCATTCCTCTTTTATTCCCTTCACTTTACAAAAAGTCAAGGATAAAACTCTAAATTGTCTATGTGGACATATTTCTGAGCATGTTATCCTAATATCAAAGCAGTGTTATTTGCCTCAAATGTTTGTGTTTGAGAGAAATTTTGTCTTTTGATATAGTCCAATTTGTACCCTAGTGTGTCCTTCACTGTGATTAAAGAACTTTAGACAAACAACTTCAAAGGAAGAACTGTTTATGGACGCTCAGTGATTGAATGTGTTGATATATTTATTTATGATTTAGTAAAGATTGCCTGAGCATACAGAAAGCAAATCTAGCCACAAGCCATAGAGCTAGACAGTGGTAATACACAACTTTAATTCCAGAAGCCATACTAGCAAGCCATAGAGCCAAGTGATGGTGGCACACACCTTGAGTCCCAGGACTCAAAAGACAAAATGCTGCTATTAGGATTATTTGTTTTTCCACCTCATCATTATAGAACAATGTATAGACACCTATGTTGGGACAGAATTGCAAATCATGGACATCAACAGTTAGAAAGTTCTGTCTCAAAGTGGTAGCATTCATTTTCTCCCCTGTAATTATAAGGAAGGCCTGCATAGACACTACGCTAGGTGAGATCTCTTTGTTTTAAATAATGTAGCATGTTTTCTCAAAGGCTCGCCTTAAATAGGCTACTAACAGATATTTATAATTTAATAAGATGACCTCAGATTAGTTTTGGTAGTGTTTCCAGTGACCCCTGGAAACACTAGTTAACAAGTCTGTAAATGAGTTTTCCTCTTGTGTAAAGGAATCTCTTAACTGATGAGATCTTTGAGCCTAACATTATAGTGTATAGTCTCAATTAGGTACTGGTTCTTTCTATTTATTTGTACTAGTAAGGAGTTTTAGGAAGAATATCCATGAAGAATGCGTCCTTGAAGGCTGTTGGACTTGTTTGTACTAATTAGATACCCTTCTCCATCCCTAAACAGGGATCCCTTCATAGTGCATCCTTTGTTGTACCAGGTATCAGCTGTGCTCATGTACAGCTGCCATGCTGAGACCTCAGGGAGTATAGGAATTGTGCTTACTTACCTTATCCCTCATGCTCAGTTCGTGCCTGGAAGGGACTACTCTGTAAATGTTTGTTCAGTGACTGAACATCATGAATATCGGTCAGCCCTGACTAAAGTCATTCCACAGTGACTAGGCTAGGAGGAGGGAAGGGTAGAGAAATGGTCAAGTAGGGTAGAAATGATAGGATTTCATTGTTGGCAGAGAGAGCAACCCACTTTTTTCCTTAATGTATCCTGAGAATCTGTCCAAGAATTCAATATATTTCAAGTCTACATTAAATTTTTAAAAATTTTATCTGTTTATAGGGAGGTCAACCATGCTCTGCATGTGTATAGAGGTCAGAGAAAAACATGCAGGAGTCAGTTCTCTCCTTTCATGTGAGTTCTGGGGATTGAATCGAGGTAGATAGGCTTAGTAGCAAGTGCCTTTACTACTGAGCCATCTTTCCTTAGTCCTAGAATATCAAAGGTACAAGATTTTTCAGACAGTAAGACACTCTGAGTGTCTGGGACTGAGGTACTCAGTAGCAATTTCTCTTCTGGGCTAAGCTTGATGGAATCTAATTAGCTGTCCTTAGATCTGTTTCCAGATTTAACTGCCACTGAAGCTGCCACCTTAGAACTTAGGTAGGGGATCAAGACAAGCTAAATTTGGTCTGAGTCTCTCTGCTACCATTGTGTTCCATTGCTGTTGGACCCGGCATCCCTTGCTCCATCTTCTGATTCAGTATACTGGTGTCTCCCATCTCAGGGACTTGCTGTGGTAAGGAGAAGCTTGATCATGAAGTTCTCTTGAACTTGGGAGACTTGAACTCACTCCTCCTCTCTTAATCACAGATAGCAGATGTCACCAGTTGTGTTTAGTTCAGGGCAGAGTGGTGAAGCTCTGCCATGCTCTAGCCTGCAATGCAACCCTTTTCCTGTGATAACCCTTCTATTACATGATCCACCTCAGGGGGAATTGTTTTGTTTCCCATGCTGATATATTTAAAACATATTTTTTGTTGCTAATAAAAACTTGACTGTGAGAAAACAGTTCCTTAAAGTATTTAGAGTTCATCCTTGAACATTAATGTGCGATGTTTAGAAAAGAGTTGAATGAAGCTGCTTAAAATCCCTTATTAGAATCAGAAAGGATTCTTCAGATATGCAAGACACAATACCATCTCCCTCATAATTCTTTATATTTAACTTATTTTGTAGGGCAAAAAATATCTGTAAATATTGTGTCTATCAGGGCTGGTAAGATCACTCAGTATAGAAGGCACTTGTCATGCAAGCCTAGCAACCTAAATTGGATCCATGGAACTCATGTTTGGAGAGAACCAACTCCAAGAAGCTGTCTTCTGACCTACTCAAATGCTGTGACATGCATACCCACACAAGTACATATATGCACATGCATGTGTACACACTAATAATAAGTAAAAATGAATAGAGATGATAAATACTGTGGTTTCACTAGAAGAGGTTAGGAACTGGGGATGTAGCTCAGTTGATGAAGGCTTGCCTACCATACACAGAGCCCCTTAGTTCAGTCCTACCACCATATAAACAGGGCATGTTGTCATCTCAGCACTCCTAAGGCGGAGACAGCCAAGGATCCTTAGCTACATGATGAATTTGAGACCTTTTGGGGCTATGTGCGACTCCGTCTCCAAAACAACAAAATACACATGGGTACTGTTACTCTAGTCAGTGTGAAGATGGAAGACTCGAGAGTGTGTGTGTGTGTGTGTGTGTGTGTGTGTGTGTGTGTGTGTGTGTGTGTTTTTTTTTGGAAATAAATAAAATGGTGAATAGCAGTCAAATAAAATATTTAATTAGAATTTGAGTATCTCTGTCCCTACTTTTGCTCAGCGGTATTCTTGATAGAAAGGGAGACCATCAAAGGGAACAGATGATTTAAATGGTTAGCTTCCAGTTGTGACTGACACATTATTGTTATACATTTTTAAATATGTATGAGTTCCTTGCCTGCAAATGTCTCTGAACCATGTTCAGAGGGCATTGAATCTCCTAGAATTGGAGTTACAGACAGTTGTAGCTGCTGGGAACTGCCTCTGTCCTTGCACAAGCAGCAAATGCTTTAAACTGCTCTCCAGCCCCAATATTCTTTATTTTCTTAGAACAATGATAGAGATGGTAGGATGTGAGGTCATTTATTTTTCCTTAAGAAAAAGGTAAATATTATAAAGAATCGTGAGAGAGATGGTCTGTTGTTTACATGCAAAGAACTTTTCTGAGCTGACTAAAGAGATGATACCTACTCAGAGGCATAGGGCTTAGGCCCTTTGAGTCCAAGTCAATGGAAGGTTACACTAAATTTTATGTAGTGTCTTTTTAATATGAAGCATATGGTTTTTAAAATGTTTTTGATAGGTTTACTTAACAGATTAATGTAGTTTGACAGCCAGCCCAGACCTGATGGCTACAAGCTCAGCGATGTGCTGATTACAGTAAAGCACACTTCCACTTTCTTTCTGTTGGGCTTACCCTTTAACTTGGAGAGTTGAGAACTGATGTAGATCTCATGTGGACTGATCATGGTGTTCCAGGAAGGGTTCACATTGACCTGGGAATAGTACTGTGTATTCATTTTGGCTCTACTATGACAACGTTTTTTGGTTTTTTTGTAACTTAACTTTTTACAGACTTAAATTTTAGCTTTTAGAGGAAAGGAAGACTAAAATCTGTGGGCTAGGGAGTCCATTGTCAGAATGCACTTTTCTTTGTTTTCAAATAGGGTCTCACAGTGTAGCTCTGGCTGTCCTGTAACATGCTGGCCTCAAACTCAGAGGATTATTTGTTTGTTCATATTGTTTTGAATTATGTATATGTGTGTGCTTATGTGTAGAATTTTGCATATCATTGCAAGGGCTTGAATCCCCTGAAGATGGAGTTACAGGTGATATGTGGGGCCTGGGAACTGAACCTGGGTCTTTCGCAAGTGGAACAAGTCATCTCTCCAGCCCAGAATGAATGTACTTCTCTTAACTTCCTTCTAATAGGGAAAATCCAGGGCCAAAGATTTACTCTAATCTATATTTTAGTGGGTTTTTTTTAATTCCCCCCCCCCCCCGGGGGGGGGGTGTTTGATTTTGATCCTTGAGAATATGCAGAAGATAAAAATTTTAGTTTTAGAATTATTTTTGTATTTTTTTTCCTTTTCAACTGGGATTATAAAGGTTTTTCTGGTATCTTCCCCTACTTTATTATGGAAGAAGCAATGTGGGACGGCAGTTTTTTCCCAGATTGTTAGGAAGGGAAATGATTCAATGACAGAGTTATATGATGTTTATTTCTGTGAGTCCATCTTTAAGTTAAATCAGTTCTACATTCCTGTGTTTTAGTTATTTGAAATCATGAAGTATAGGTCAAACACCAGAGCTAAGTGACTTTTATCTGATCAAAGACTTAAACATAGAATCAGTGCCTCTCCAAATGTAATTTTGATATGTCAGTTAATTAAATGATTGGCATTGTGAGGTATGAGAAGAAAAATCATAAGACTTTTCTCTAAGTAAATCAGTTAAATTTATACTGTTTCTCTATTTGTTGGCAGGACTTTGTGTCATTGTATCAGGACTTCGAGAACTTCTATACACGAAACCTCTACATGAGGATAAGAGACAACTGGAACCGACCCATCTGCAGTGTGCCAGGAGCCAGGGTGGATATCATGGAGAGACAGTCCCATGACTACAACTGGTCATTCAAGTGAGTCGTTTTAGAAACTATTTCTTCATAACAAAGGAATTTGTTTTGAGTATTCTCTTAAGCAAAAGCAGCAGTTAAAGATACAATATGATTAGTTTCCTGGCAATACTGTTCATTGTTCTTGAAATATTTTTTGGAGGGAGTGCTGGAGTTTAAATCCAGGCTCTCAAACATGCTGGGCAGGTGCTATACCAGTGAGTTACACCCGCAGTCCTCATTGAAATTTAAGATCTTTTTTTCTGTTTCATTTGATTCTTTTGTTTTGTCGTTTGGTTTCTTTCTCTTTTTTTCTTTTTTTGTTTATTTGGTTGGTTGTGTTTTGTTTTATTTTGTTTTGTTTTAAGACAGGGTATCTCTGTATAGCCCTGACTGTCCTGCAAATAGGCTGGCCTCAAACTCAAAGATTCACCTGCCCCTGCTTCCTGAGTGCTGGGATTAAAGGTATGTACCACCACTGCCCAGCATTGTTTATTTTTTTGAAACGGGATTTCACTATGTAGCTCTGGCTGTCCTGGAACTCACTTTGTAGACCAGGTTGGTGTCAAACTTACTTTTTTAATACACAAAAATGGGATCATACGTTATAAATTATTTTTGCTCTTTTTATTTGCTAACATACTGGCGAGGCATTGCCTGTGTGTTTATCACTATAAGTTCATTATTTGTAATGGCTAATAGTATTCTACAATGTAGGGGTGCCATCCCTAGCCATCTTATGCTGGTTAAGTCCCAGATCCTAGGCACTTAAAGCTTCAGCACTTTGCTTCCACCTTGGGTTGATGGGGAACCATCAGTCATCTGGACCTTGCTGACTGATGACTGATGGTTCCCCATCCTTGCTGACTGAGCTCCCATCATAGTGGCAATATCACTGGTCCCTGGGCCTATGGAAGGACAGTGGCTCTTCAAGGATCTGTGTGTGTGTGTGTGTGTGTGTGTGTGTGTGTGTGTGTACTCAATGTGTGGAATTGCTGAGTCAGAATATATGTAACTTTCAGTGCAAAGTAGTACCAAGTTGCCCTCCAGAAGAAAATACTGAATGAAGGCTAGATTATAAGAATGTTGTAAGCCAACATTGGCTATCACACTTTAAATTTTTATCACTTAATAAATTAACATTTTAAGCATTTTGGGTTTTGTTTTTGTTTTTTTTTGAAGCAGGGTGTCTCTGTGTAGCTGTGAAGACCAGATTGGCCTTGAATTCACAGAGATCCACCTGCCTCTGCCTCCCAAGTGCAGATTTTTATTCCTTGACAATTTCGTACATGTGCACAGTGCACACTGTTATTTTGTTGTGCCTTTCATCTTCCTTGTTAGTGGTGAGTTTGTGCTGCTTTTCTGCAGATAGTGTCCTCTCTGTTTCTATGTGGGATGCTTTTGTGTGACCAATGTATGAAACACTTAAGTATTAGGCATGCTGTGAGTATCATTAATTTTTGTACTGTTGAAACACAGGTACACAGGGAATATAATTAAAGGTGTTATAAACATGGGTTCCTACAACTATCTTGGATTTGCAAGGAACACTGGATCATGTCAGGAAGCAGCTGCTGAAGTTCTCAAGGAGTATGGAGCTGGAGTGTGCAGCACTCGCCAGGAGATTGGTAAGTGTGAGCTTCAGGTACAGTGCTAGTGTAAGAAATCCACAAACACTTGCTTTTGGACTTTTGTATACATGGAATCATACAACATCGTGACCTTTCATGTGTAGCTTCTTTTCACAGAGTATGTTCACAAGATTACCTATGTGTAGTATGCATTAGTATTTCATAGACTGAATCAGCATGCCATTCTACTTTGTGACTAAATAACAACCCATTGTGTGTTTCCATCGTTGATGGACATTTGGTTTATTTCTTCCTTTTGGCTGCAAGAATATATTTTTGAAATAACATTTTCATTTCTCTTAGTACTTAGGTGTGGTATTGCTAGATCACATGGTAATTCTATGATTAGCTTTTTGAGCTGCTTCCCAGAGCAGCTGCACTATTGTATAATCCCATCAGCAATGAGAGTTTATGGTTTGGGGGGGGTTGGGATTAAGAGGAAAGGGGTCAGGCATGCCTAGGTAGCCCAGGCTAGCCTTAAACTTGTGATCCTCCTGTGAATGCTGGGATAACAGATGTGTTCTGCCATCCTTGGCTTTGTGTGTTTTATATATCATGTTTGTAGCCCAGCTTTAACCCTTGCCTGCCTTGATTGCTGCTGCCTCTCACTTTAAGCCTCTCTGGAGTTCATGCAATGAGTGTTCTCACTCCTCTCTCATCAAATCATCATCTACTTGATAAAGACATAGATTTAACCTTTCTCATAGTTCCCAACTCTGTTGGCTTCCTAGGACGACTATAACAAAGAATGAGAAATGGGGAATTGTGGAGAAGTATGAGATGGAGGTGTCAGCAGGACCAAGCTCACTCTGACAGCACCTCAGTGTTCCCTAGCCTGTGGTCCCATGGCTGTCTTCCTGTGTGTTAGATATTGTCATCTTCTGTTCCTCTTCTGTATATGTTTGTTTGTCCAGGATGTTATTAGCCCAATCCCATTGGCCTTATTTATCTTGATTATTTTTGTGAAGATTTTCCAAAATGGCTACATTCTGAGTAAAAGGAGTTACGACTTTGTTTTGGTTCTGGACTATGACTCTGGGCCCTGTATGTGCTATACATCTGTTCTACCACAGAGCTGCCTCCTTCCTCAGCCCCTCAGAATGTCTTTTTAGTGAAGCACAGTTCACTCTTTGACATTACTCATGCTTATATATTTATTAGTTTTCACCTAATTGTATCAAGGATTACAAGTTTCCATAAATGGAGTTTTAGTTCTTGTCTTCCAGTGTTTTGGGTATGTTGATTTACTTTCTCCTCCCTCCCTCCTTCCTTCCCTCCCTCCCTCCCTCCCTCCCT